AGGCCCTGTTGGGGCCTGACAGGGTCACTTCTTGGAGGGGCTCCTAAACTTCCTGAGGAGAGCACTGCCCCCAGGAGGAGGCAACATCTGGGTGGCCACCAGCAGCCCACGTCCTCAGCTAGAGGAACTGGCTGGTCCAGGGCTCCTTATCCCTTGGGGTGTGCGTCCAGGGAGAACAGCAGAGGCAGTGACAGAGACCAGAGAGAGCTGTAGCCCTGGGCACCCCCGCCGCTGCTGAGGGGTGTCTGAGCGTTGGCTCTGGGGTTGGGGAGGTGGCAGCTAGACCTGGACATCTGTACACTGGCATTGGGGGCATCAACAGGGCTGGGGAGTGGGAGTGGTTTGGAGTCCAAGGGGCTGTGGCATTCACCTGTAGCTGGGGTGAGCAGCTTTGTGGGGTGCCTGTGAGAAATGCAGTCTTTCCAGGAGAAAGGGGCCCAGGGACGCAGCCTTTCTGTCCTGAGGGCCTCATCTGTGCCCCTGGCTGGGGGGGGTGCCTGCTGTGAGAGGCCCCTGGGCTGTGTCTCTGGGACTCCATGCCTCCTCAGGGGAAATCCATGTCTGGAGGGGGTGGGGGCTACATGTCACAGGGGCTCAGACTCCTGGGGCCCTTTGCTCATAGCCAGCAAAGGTCAGAATCCATATCTCATGGGCGGGAAGTGGTGGGCCCAAAGCAGTCCTCCCCACCCAGCAACCACCCTGCCCATGCTCAGGAAAGGACACCTAGCACAGACCTGGCTGTCAAGGTCGGGGAGGAGGCCACTGCAGCAAAGATGCGAACCATGGCCAGCTTGCAAAGGTCAGCGGCTGAGCCTGTGGGCACAAAGGGCGGTCTCAGGGCCCCAACTTCGTGGTGGGGTACCTGCAGCCTGTCACTGTCCTACCATGCAGAGTCTCTGGGCTCTGAGCCCCTTGAGTACAGTGTCTGAAGGTGACAAGGCGTCCACTTGCCTCCAGCCACCCCTTGCTGGGGGTGGGGGTTCTAGTGCTCGCTGAGTGACTGAAGCCTCAGTTTCCTGCCTGTGGGTATGGGAAAAGCCACTGCCTTGGCTGCTCTTGTAGGACATGTTCTAATTATAAAAAGGACCATGCCCCAAGCACCTGTCACCTGCAGGTGCCATTGCACTAGTGCCTCCCACAGTCACCACTGGGCAGGATGGGTGGTTGTGGGGCTCCTGGAGGAAAGACTGCTAAGTCCTGCTAGGACAGGAGATGCCCTGACAGCAACATGGTGGGCATCTCTCAGGCTGCAGCAAGTGGATCCAGAACTAAACCTGAGCAGCAAGTGGATCCAGAACTCTGGGGCCAGGGGGCCAGCAGGCGAACGAGGCCCTGTACCTTGCACCACAAAGTTCACAGCCTGTCGCTCTGCCTGGGCCCGGAACTGTGGGTCACGTGCATGGATCTTTGGCAGGGCTCTTCTTCTGCCCATGAGGGACACCACATAGCCTGGGTCACATAAAGGAAGATAGATGAGCGATAGAAACCAACAGCCATGCAGCAGGACTCACCTGTCCTCTGCTCAACCACCACCGACCTACCCACCTGTTTGCTCACCCATCAGCAGAGCCAGGAGCTGTGGATGCCACTGGCCATGACAGTCACTGGTGGTAGGAGGGGGCAGGGGTCTGGACATAGCCAGCTTACCTGTCTGTTGACAATGGGCCACAACTGCTTGGCCAAAGTCCTTAATTTTCTTATACTTCTGCAAAAAACTTGCCAAAAACTGGGCAGCTTCCTGATCAGTAACTCCAAGGCAAGCAGCAAGCCGCTTCTTTCCTGTGAGTCAGAAAGACACAGATCAGTGTTAACTCCCAGCCCACAGCTGGGCAGGGACTGTGTGCATGGAAACCAGCCTGGCAAGTCAGGGTCCAGGGGGCACCACTGGCCTTTTCTGCACAGTTGGGGGCTGTTAGCATCTGGCCTTCCATTCTGAGTGCTGGGTGCTTGCCAATCAGGACTAGGGCCTGTTTGACATTTCTCTGGCTCCCAGTCCTGCCTTAGCACTTGCCAGGACCGCAGGAGAGCAGCAAAGGAAGCTAGTGGGAGGCTCAATTCCAGAACTGAGGAGGCCAGACTGGGCAAAAGAGGAAAAGAGGAAGGGGATGTTCCGTGGCCAGATTATGAGAACAAGGTACTCAGGAGTTCCGATCCTAGAACTTTTATCTCAGTGGTTCTCAACCTGTTGGTTGTGACCCCTTTGGGTTACAGGGGTAGCTTAACACCATCCTGCATATCAGATATTTACATTATGATTCATAACAGTAGCAAAATTACAGTTATGAAGTAGCAACTAAAATAATTTTATGGTTGGGGGTCACCACAACATGAGGAACTGTATTAAAGGGTCGCAGCATTAGGAAGGTTGAAAACTACTGTTTTAGCTGGAGATAAATGATTTTAGTTCCTAGAAAATGCAGGTGTTGAGAAGCTGCTAATAAAGATGTCTCTGGCTGTGGTGGCAGCCTGAGCCCCCGTGTAGCATGGAAGCCCCTGCATGGTTGCATGGCTGGTGTAGGCTCTGGGGCCACATAAACCTGGGTCTGAGTACAGCTCTGTCACCCATGGGAGGCTCCTTGTTGCCTCACATAACCCACAACAAACCCGTTTCTTTACCTCTGAATTGGTTACAATTGTCCTTACCTCCAAAGGTTGTTAAGAGAACCCCCAGAATATATAAAGCTCAGAAGTGCACCTGCTCCTGCTTGGTACTCGGTCTGTAGTCACCCCTCCCTTTTCCTCCAGAAGAGACATATAACTTAGAGAAAAGGAGTCCATGAGGACACAATCCCTGGCTTGACAGTGGAATCATGGGGAAAGCCATGGCTGTGTGCTTGGCAGGAACCCCAGAGCACAGGCTGCCTAGAGACCTGCATTTCTGGGAGAATGGGACTAGGAATGGGCCTGCTGCCCTCTGCACCAGGTTTGCTCTGGCTCAACAAGATGGCTCAGAAACCCTGGCCTGGGGCTGGAGATGTGGGGTCTGCCCGACTCTTAGTTCTAGCCCTCCCTGCAACCAGGCTACTCCTGGCCCCAGCCAGCAGATGCCAGACAGAAAGAGTGTCAAGTCTTAGGACAGTAAAGGGGTAGATGTTTTCTTGGCCAGGAGGAGTGTGAGTCTGGGGCGCCCTGTTCTCCCAAGGCTAGTCCCAGCAGAGAGGAATCAGCTCTGGAGCCCTGGTCCTTCCATAAGCCCAGGGCCACTTGATCACCTGGGGACACTTGGTTGGAAATGAAAAAAAAAACTCTCATATCTCTTTTAGGGCTTCATTAAGACCTATTACTCTGGCATCTTTACAAATATGAGCACATTATGTATTTGTTACCCTTTACTGAAATAATCCATCTATAACTCTATTAATCCCCATCAGCACCCTTAGCTGTGGCACTGCAGTGGAAAATTCCAGCAGCTCTCAGAAAGGAATCAGGTCGTAGCTGGACACCTTACGCAGGTCAGCCAGACAGGACTTTGAGCAGTCTCCTTAGCCAAGTCTCTTATCATCTCCCATCCGCTGTTAAGCCCATTTGGTGAATTTTTTATTTAAGATATGGCAGTTTCAAGTTTTAGAATTTCCATCTGGTTTGTTCCAACTACTTGCTAAAGTTTTCCTTATTTATTATGAACATATTTTTATTTATATCATTGGGCTCAGGTATTAATAGCAAGTTTAAAATCCTTGTCTGTAAATTCCAACATCTGGGTCATCTCAAGATCTGTTTCCATGGTTGCCTTTTCTCAAGTCAGGTCAAGTTATCCTGTATCTTCATATGTTTAGGGATTCTGGATTGTATCCTGGATATAGTGAATGATATGCCACTGATACTTTGAATTCCATTATGTTCTTCTTAGGAGTACTAATCTTTTTAAGAGGGCAGATGGTCTGGCTAAAGTCAAACCCCAAACTCTGTCTCCCTGCTGAGGACAGCAGCTGAAATCTCAGCTTATCCTTTTGGGCTTAGCTCCACTGCTTGAGGTCTGCCCCATATAGCCACAGGCAGGGTGAGCTGAAATCTAGGCAGATTCATACCTAGAATTTGGGCTTACCTCTGCCTCCCTTCTTCCTGGAATTTTTAACTTTCCAGATTCTGTGGTTGTCCCAACTAAGTCCTCTGATGCTTATAGCTACTATAATTGGGCTCTACTATAGCTAGTAGAACCCAGACTTTACATCAGAGATTCTGACTGTGGCTTGCCTCTAAGTGAGGAGCTGTAGAATGGGACACTCAGTTGTACCCTTCTTTCTTCCAAGTACCAACCAACCTCCAGTTTCTGTTTGCTTTTGGTTCCTTTCCAGTGCCTTCAGGTAGTTGGTTTTTTCTACATTTTCCATAGATTATGGCTGATACTTGTGGGAGGCTTGGTCTTTTAGGGGCTACTTGGCCATCACTAGAAGTCATGCCTGTCTTTCTAAACACTTATGTCTTCTGCAGAGCTCTGAGACCAAGGTCCTGGTGTGTAAAACAAGCCTATTTACAAGAGAAGCAAATGTGGCAACTCCAAAAAGAGCAGAGGTAAGGGACTGCAATGGAGCAGAGGTCCGGTCAGCAGCCCAGGCCCCAACTTCAGCTCCCACTCCTGGATGCCTTTGACAGTAGGACTGTTACACTCAAAGGCCACTGTCTTCTGGCTCTGAGGGGCTTCTCTGCTGTGTTTCAAGTGCACTAGCTCCCTCTTCTCATAGAATTTGCCTCCACACATTCACTCAGTCGAGCGGATTCCTCTTTTTGACATTGTGACCACAGGCAGACTCATGTCCCAAGAGCGCTCCCATGGGAGCCACACACACACCCTGCCTCTGCCTCCTGCATGGGCACTGTGGCTTGTCCTGCAGGGGGCTACTCACATCCCGTGTGCATGTGTGTGTCACAGTCCTAACTTTAGGAGGACAATCTTCTCTGAGTGCCCTTGCCCCACACATTTTGCTGACAGTTTTCACTTCTGCCTGTGTGTCTAGGGCTGAGCATACAGTAGGCCTTTGGAGCTTTGCCAGTCTACAGGACGGATCTGACTGACTGAATTTCACGCAGCATTCACATTCAGCTCAGGTTCTGCTGCTCTGGGCTGGCCTAGGGCCCTCCTCTGGTACCAGGGACTCCCCAGCTAAAGCACTGCTGTGTATTTTGACAGGTAAGAGCCTCTGAAGTGGCCCTGGGCTCACCAAAGGCTGGCGAGTGTCTGTCCATCAGAGGTGAGTAGATGTGGAGGCAAACTTCAGCTTTACTCTGTAATTCAAGAAGACTTAAGTCTAACAGCTCTAAGAGCTCAGTGCAAACTGGAGGAGTCAGAAGCTGCTTTTGCAGGAGGCAGAACACCACTGGGCTCAGCGGGGGTGGGGAGTGGACATCTGAATTTAGTGATAGAGGAGGCACAGGAAGCCTGGGAGCCAGCCCTGGGGTCGACACCCCAGGCAGCTGCTGCTCTGGGGCTCCGACACCCCATTCCGACACTCTGGGCAGGCATGTCTGAGGGTGATGGCTAAACACAGAGGCCAGCACCTTGGGAGTGGTCTCCCTGCCTGTTTCTCAGTCAGTCTTCACAGTGGTCAAGTCACTGTTTCTAGAAAACCCTACACTGGCAGAGTGTGCTTGTGTGAAGACATGTCACTGCCACCAGCTGAGAGCTGGCTGGCTCGAGCTCCTCTCTTGAATTCTCAAAGGGGCCCAGAAGCCCAGGTCGCACTCACTGGTTTGTCCCAGCTCATGTGACAAGGTATCAAACACAGAACACAGACAGCTGGGGCTGCAGCATATACACGGTGATTCTAGCTGTCAGGGTGGCTGTGAACAAAGGGAACAGCAGAGGCGGGGGCTGAGGGTGGGAACTCCTGTGTCACCCTCTGGCTAAAAGCAGTCAAATTGCCCCCTTTACCAACATTGCTATTAATAACTCACACTGATTTACACAGTGCTGCTCTTTTCCTCTCCAGAAGACAGTTGATACTCCAGAGTCTCTCTCCAGGGCAGCTGGGGCGGGGGGTAGGTGCCACAGGGAAGCACAGAACTAAGACAGGACCCAGACAACAGAGACCAGAGAATTGTTCACTACGCTCCAATGCACCAGCCCCTCAAGAGCATCTCTAAGGACCAGAGAAGCACAGAGGTGGAGGTTCCCGACAGGCCTACAGTCAGCAGGTGGCTGCCTTGGGACTGAGCTGGCTGTTGTCCTGCTGCAGGACACATAGGCGGCGCAGCCCTGCTGGAGGCGGGCCCTGCAGCTCCCAGGGACCGACAACTATACACCTGTCTGTCATTCCTGTCCTGCGCTCGTTCAGTTTTGTGGACTGTCCTTGGATCTTCTTCTCAGGGACTTTACAAGGCCCCAGAACTCTAAGTGGTGACTCAAGGGAGAAGATCTGCACTGGCTGGACAGATGCCTGGGCCCCTCCTCAGATGCCAAAAGCCCCTCCTGGGTGAAATTGGGCCACACTGATTTAGCATGACCCAGAGGCACAGACGAATTTAAAAAGTCCAGACAGCCCACAGTGAGGGGGTGGGAGGGACAGTGGGAGAGCTCAGAGGACTCTGTGGGATCTGGGCCAGAGAAGAGGGGCAAGGAAGGCACAGAGGTGGCACCAGATGACCGACCACTGGCCCTTGGTCCTTCCTGCCAGGCTTCCTCTCCTGCCTGTTGCCCAGAAACCCGCCTCTGCCCCTGTGGGGCCTAGCTTTGGATCCCCACTCAGCTGGGGAGATGGAGAAGTAAGAAAGCCTCAGTGTATACACAAATGAGGGTTCCTGGAGGGTCTCAAAGTCCAGCAGGAATGCCCAGCACAGTAGTGCCATGTGAGGGTGGAGCTGGGTGGCCCGGTCACACCCACTCTCCCTGCTCTGGCCTCATCTGGAGAGGATGGTTGTGCCATTGATCACTCATGGTGTGAAGTGGTCTGATGAGTGTCTGAAGGTCACAAGTATCATCAGAGTGTCTGCGTACACAGCACACAGGGACTCCCAGAATGATTTCCCTGAGACATGGCCACATTTGCACACAGATGCACACCCATCTGGCAAGCTCAACCCCTTGCCTACAGCCTACCTGCACCGTAGACCACCGAGTACACCACTTTCTTGGTTCGCTCTCTGTCTGAGTGTGTCACATGTTCCACAGGGATGTCCTTCCTGCGTGGAAAGATGGCATGTCATCAGGCACACTTGCACTGTCAGCAGAGGGGGTCCAAGGCACACACAGCCCCCCTCACAACTCTTCCTCTGGAGGTTCTTAACTGTTTCAAATAGCCTGTCACATGGGCAGGGGACAGAGTCAACATCTGTCGTATCCAGCTCTGCAAAGGCTCCACTCAGGTATTGGCAGTGAGGCTGCAGCATCCTCAAGTTTTGAGGCATCCAGAATCAAAACCCCAAACTGCTTTTACTTGGAGGACAGCCTGCCCCTGTGGTGGAGGTCTGAGGCCTACATTAGCAGAGAGTGGTTCTGGCCCCTCTGAGGGCTGTAGGGGGAGCCCTGCTCTGGGGCTGCAGCATTCAGACAGGTTAAGGGCCAGCTTGGCTTCTGACTGCAGCAACCTCTGGAGATTATAGCTGAAACATCTCAGCAGTACAGGAGCTGCAGGGCACTCCAGCAGCACTGAGTCCCTCCTCCCTGCCAGGGCCCCCCAAGGTTAAGCCCCCCAGCATGTGCTGGTGCTTCTTCCTGCTGTTGCTCTTGTAAATGTCCTTATCATCTATGGGGGGAGTCCAACATGTGACCTGTGGGCGGCATGTGGATTATTTGGGGCCTGTTTAAAAAAGGTTTTTTTTGCTCATCAGCTTTCTTTAGTGTCTATGTGTTTACTGTGTGGCCCAAGACAATTCTTCTTCCAATGTGAAGCCGAAGGAAAAAAGGTTGGACACCCGTGAGCCACCAAGCCTCCCCTGATGGACTGAGCGTCAGATTTAGAAGCTGAGAGATAGGGTGGCGCCTGTGGCTCAAAGGAGTAGGGAGCTGGCCCCACACGCCGGGAGGTGGTGGATTCAAACCAGGCCCCGGTCAAAAACTGCAAAAAAAAAAAATAGAAGCTGAGAGACAGAAATGCCTCCCCCAGGCTGTGAATGGCTCTGTGCTGTGGCCTCTATTGCTAACCTGCCCTTAGCCTTCATCTCCTGCCTACACCGAGCATGGGCACTAGGCCATGGTGAAAAGCTCAGGCTCTTTGTGGGTCTCTTCTGAGATGAAAGCTGCTGGGCCTGCATG